ATATGTTTATATTTGTACTCTTTGAAATTGAGACTTAGGTTGTGCTAGGTTGCAGTGCCATCTTATTTTTTTCAGTAGTACAAATGCATAAGAGTGCAAATAGAAAAAAATACAAATTTTTGTTTGATTTTGTTTTGGGTTTTATTTTATTCTGCTTCATGTCTTAATTTACTTTATTTGTAATACAATCAAATAAAATAGACTAAAATTTGAAACAAGAATAGGTCAGAATTTATACTGAAATCATTTGCACTGCGGCAATTTCGTATCAGTGCAAATTTATGCATTGCAAGTTGCAACCAAACATAGCCTTAGGCTCTGTTTGAAAATAGTACAAATGCAAATATGTACAGCGTAAATACATATAAAATACATATAAAATGATACAAAATATAAGGTTTTGCACTCTACACATTTGCATTTACACTCCTTCCAAACTGAGCCTTAGGTATCATCACATAATGCACATTTCAGGGGATCCAAGGTGAGACAGAGCAAAGTGTACATGAATTACCCGAGATCAAATCAGCCCCCCCACAACGTCTCACAGCACATTCTCGCTATGTATTAGAAACATTTCCCGATGATGATATCATCATTTCTGATATTATCATTGAGAGATATTTTCAATACACAGCGAAAATGTACTTTAAGACGTTGTGGGGGCAATGGGATGAAGCAGGGTCATAACTTAAAACTAGTTGGCCCTTACAAGTTATATATGCAAAAAGAGATGGCCTGGAGCTATCAGAAAATATAGTTAGGCTATGGACGTTCGATGCAGTAGCTTTGATCAAGTCGGCTAGAAGTACTCTGATTTCAGCGTCATAATCGTTGACAGCCCAGCATGGATGGCCTTCTGCTTTGATGGTTTTTGCATTGGGTGATTTGAGGAGGAACCCTCTTATCCTGCATAACCTGTGTTTGGATCGAAAGAGCTATAAGTAAAGAGGAGGTGTGTGTGATGGGGTGAAGATTGGTGTGGTGGCTGTTGTGGGGTCTGAGTGATGTGTTGTGTGTTGTATGAGAGAGCTTTGCGAAGGGTGTGCATTGGATCTGGTGAGTTCTGAAAAAGCTTATTGTTTCAACCCTCCTAGATAAAATTGGTGTAGTGGCTGTTTATTTACATTTGCTGGCGTGTGAGCCATTCTGAGATGGTCATATGGAGTGATGTGGAACTTACAGAATCTGGCTTCGGAGGGTTTCACATGGGGACTCGGATTTAGTCCTCACAAAATGATGTTCACACTATTTTACAGCGACTTGCAATTGTGTTTAGAATATCTTTGTATTTGTATATTTTTAATTATGAGAAGATATTCCTAATATAAAATTGCAAGTGACTGTGAGTATGGTGCCAGCAACGTTTATGTGAGGACTAAATCTTCGCATGGGCATATAATCTCTATTTGGTGAATAAATCCAGAGAACCCAAATCAACTATCAGCCAGTCATTTGAAGAATTAGGCGAGCATTTTGTAGGAGTTAAATCAGCTTAACCCATCGTCGTGACTCGTGACTCGTGCTATGTGCCATGAAATTCGTGCTAGATTAAGGGGTATTCTGCATTGTGATTTAGGTTACATCCTGTATTCTGATTTCATATATCTCAGATAAACAATGTAGATAATACCGTTGATTAAGGGTACTTATTTTCTTTTTTACTTTAAGTAAAATACAATGAATAGTACAAATTAATTTAACATGTGATCAATTTTCAATCATAAATACGAATTAATAAAAAAATTACCAACTAAAGTGAAAAAATTAATAAAATTTGCGAATTAATAATAAAATGAATTTTATTTGCGAACTCCCAAATACGAAGCACTGTATTTCTCAAGGAGACTATAGTCCCCTGTGACATACTTACAACCACGATAAATAGCTGTTGTCAATATTTAGGGTCGTAGTATAGACCACCCATGATATATAGAGTTTTGATGCATGCCAGTGCCACACACTTTGAAAACCCAATTTATCGTGATTCCACCACGCTACAGAACGCTGCCCTATTCTAATGCCATCGGCTTTAGACTAGTTCCGATCTATACTACCTTTTACACCCCAAACTCCATCGTCTACTCATCTCCAGAGAGTTCGACCTCACCAAAACCATACCGATGATGTCCAACTCCTAAGCAAATCATTCTGACTTGAGCAAGCCCCCTTTACACGTCAACAGTTAGGAGGAGAAAAATCAAACATGATGATGCTTTCTCTTTTGACTATTCATTTTTATAAAGGGGTTTTCCCAAATCACCGCCCACATAAAGTTTCCCAAAAAGAAAAAAAAAAAATCTTTGCTTCGTTTACTTTAGTTTAGACTTCATTGTATACCCCAGAAGTAGAGGCTCATAAATAAGAAACGTATTAAAATTACCAAGATAACCTTATTATTAAAATTCAATATTCTCTTTTCCGATTTTTTATTTTTCCTTACATGCGCAAAAGACATATCTCACCAGTCACCATATGCATGTGTGGTGGTATTTCGCACCCTTAGACAGTCCTACATCAGAGTGGGCCTACACAAAATATCAGTATTATCATACTGGGCCCAGTACACTCCAAGCATTGCTAAATATGACAAGATGAAGGGTGGCGGACGGCTAAAAATTTACCCGGGGGTGGGGCCCAGACTCCCGCAACTTCCATCTACATCTCCAGACATTTTTATTTTTATCAAATCACGCGGTACACCTAGGCCCACCACCACAAAACTAGAAATGCTCAGCCACTTATGATCACCTTCGACCAGGATGAAAGAAACGAAAGAAAGATAGAGAAACAGAAAATATGACATGTTAGATTGAGGCCACGTTAGGGCAATGCCGTGGACGCCGTTGGGTCTGCCATCTGTCCCTGCTTAACAGCATTACGCGTTTCTCGGCATATGGCAGCACCGACTCTGAGCATTTTAAGATCTTTTCTCTTTCACCTGCTCCTTTGTCAATTTTGCATAACAAATAAGGATTTAACTTTCCACGTGTCGATTAAATAAGAGGGACACGTGTTTAGCAGTTAACTGTTCCCATCAAGAAGTTAAAAATTGTAAAAGTGGGAAAAGAACATAACGGTAAAGAAAAAGGAAAATAAATAAATAATAAATCACGAACTGTCAATTGTATGACCACAATCTAGCCAATCAATGCCAATCGGCGGCTGTAATGCGTCATGATCGATTTGATCAAATGCGGGGCTCGATCTCCTGCGTACAAGATCCTACCCACACGGCCCACACCAACCCAGGTCACTACAACTATTCATTAGGCCATAATACGAGAGATATTCCGAATGTACAGCTGTAATGTCCTATGGGTAGGATTTTTACGGGTAGGGGGATAATCTCAAATGCAAGTATATGAATTGCCTGGAACTCTGGATTATTTTAGGTAGCTACTTTCTCAGTTCGAGTTAGGTCGTTTAGGCTGCCTTTGGTTGGTGGGAAAGGGATAACAAAGTAGAAATATTCTTAGGGGTGTTCTATTTTTTTTTGGATTTTGAGAGGAAAAAGTTGACCACTAGGATTTTGGTTCTCATTGACTAAGAATTATATGTTCTTTTTTCAGCTTTATGTGAAGACCAAGGAAAGTTTATTTTCTTTGGTATCACTTATGCAGGAAAATGATACCCATTTCCTAAGTGGATAAATAACATTCCCACATAGGAAAAAGTTGCCAATACTTTAATGAGACAAAAATGCTCCTTTTAATAATGAGTTATATCTAAAATGGTCTTTGCCCTATTTACATAGAAAATAAAAGAACATGGGTAAATGCACTTACCTGGATAAATGTTTCCCAAAAAAAATCTTATCCAAGTAATTGCATTTACCCAGGTAAGTTACCAAAAAGCGAACATGGCCTTAGATTCTATTTTCTCAGTTTAGTTTGTATCATCAAAAAATCTTTCACGTGGAAATGTGGCATTGTGGCAAATTAACGAGAAAGAGTCAATACTACGATTAACTCAAATTCATTGGGTTGAAAGTACAAAAAATAAAAGGGGGAAATGCTTAAACTTTCCCTGTTCTCATCAAAATGGACTGAATCTCCTGTGTCTAGTAGAAATAGGCTTGACGTCCCCTATCATAGAATCTCCATTAAAACACAAACAAAAATGTTTGATGAGAAGAAAGTCTTTTCATAGAAAAAGAAAACATGATATTATGTAGTTTTGAGTAGGTCTGGTATATCAAATATCAATACACCTCTCTAAATCCGGGTCAGCTACCCACATGACACTACATCGGAAACATCACCCCATGAATGACATCAAATAAGTATAAGAGATGTTCCTGATGTGTAGTTACAGTGTGTTGTAGGTAGGTGCGGATCCAAGCTTGCTAAATTATAGCCAATCCACCGAGAGAGATCTTATTCAGCAAATGTTGTAAGATCCCAGATATCTGGGAACCAACATTTGGGAACCTCTTTTTCAAACTGAAACCACTGGCTAAGAATTCATATGAACTGTTCACTAAAACAGTTGCATTTGATTGCAAAATGCTGTATGTATCTCACAATATGGAGGATTGAGTCTATAGCTATACCCTCTCCCCCGAAAAGAAAAAAAGTGACTTCACTGACTTGTCATTATGTTCTTTCAGAGTTTTGGCTAATGTTAACAATAAGGGAAAAGTAGAAAAACAAAAAAGAGTTGGAACTAGAGAGGATGGTAAATCACGATTATCAAAAGAACTGATTTGTCGAAACTCGAAAGTAAGCCTAATCCTCTACGAAAGTAAGTCGAGTTCATATTTCTCAGCCCAACTCAACGTGAATTTTTCAAATCGACATTGGTATGCTCTAGAGATTCAGGCAGCAAAAGCATGATTCTAAACGGCCAATAAGGACCTCCGTTGACCCGTGCAAAACTCGGTAGGATAAGGCTATGTTTTTCGTATTGAAAATGATTTAAACAAAAAGCAATTTTGACAAACCTTTTTATTTGTTGTTTACTCAACTTTCGAGACACAGGGATACACAGTAGGGGGCTTCTGAAGGAGAACGGATTTGCTAGGCTCACTCAATGAGCACACTGAATAAGCGCTGCTCACACCTGTCCAAAAAATATGTTTACAGTTGTATACAAAATTCAATTTATTGTATACACATATAATCAATTGAGTTTTGTATTTGAGGGGGGAAATTTTCTCTATATAGAAGCGTTCTTATTGGTTATGGTTCTTAATTTTTGGTTATAGTCCCCAAAGCATGTTTTGGGTGGCTGTGTGGGCTCACTCATGTAGTTTATAGTATATTAGCATTTAATTAACTCTCCCTGAAGCCAAATCAAGCATCGTACGGAAAAACTGCTGCGGATACATCGGTGGTTGCTCTGCAAGTGCCTGAGAAAATTGACCCGGATCAAATGGATATGTGGTGAATATTACTCAAAAAAAAAAAAAAAAAGCATTTGATTTATCTGAAATAGAGCTTTTTGCCGTTTACCTGATGAATCAACACGGTGGAAGGAGTCATCCCAGGTACTGTATTGACCTCTATGACCAAAACCTGCATATAATCAAGGTACATAATGTAGCCCGAAATGCGCCAAAATTACCACCCAGCTAATTAAAGGGTACTGAATCACCTCTGAAAGTATACTATATAAATCCAATAAAAAGCAATAAACCATACAAACATCTTCCTCTTTTCTGAAAATTCAATGCTTAACATAAGGAAAGATAACAAATTGAAGGGCATGCGCATGGGAATATGCCTATAAACAGGAAGAAAATATCCTGTCCCTTCGCCTTCTAGAAATATAGTTTAAATTTGAACCAGTCTCAATGTAGAAAACAAATCCACCTAATCCTACCCGAGGGTCAGGTCATATTGGCATTTTTAAACCTCAAGCTGGCACTCCAATGGTTTCAGAAAGAATTTTATTGAAGTCACCAGCGAGAAAACCTAAACCAAGTTAGAAAGTTCAAGGGATGGCAATCTTAACCATTTAACCTTAAGACGTGTTACAGAGGAAATTTCAAGTCTCTTTAATAGTGCGAAAAAGTGCAAAATATAAAATGCGTTAGTTTCTGCCTTGTGAGGTGTAAATATTCCTCGACCTTGAGTAACATGAACAGCAGGCATATTCTTAACCTGATAGTATTTCACCTTAAAGCAAACTTAAGGAGTTATTGATACAAACATTTGGCAGTAATTGACATCATGAAAATGGCCAAATCTGGTTTTTTTTTTTTATTTTTTTTATTTTTAATCTAGCTAAAGATAAGGGTAAATAGAACTTTGGCATCATGAAAATGGCATACCTCCCCAGTGTCCGCATTCACAAATGCATCGATACGTGAAAATCCTTCTAATCCCAATGTGTTTGCTATTATTTCAATGCGCTGTTTACATCTTTCCAAGGCTTCTTTGCTGTTGGCAAAAGAAAATAAATATAAATAATTGGAGTATATGAATAGGTCCTTGTAAATAACTTAAAATTAAATAATTTCTTGAGAGAAATTTATGAAACTGGATCATACAAGTAGGTACTGACAAGATGACAAATTATGAAATAAATAATGCAAAGGATGTCTTTTCCATATAGAACCTTTCCCAAGCCTGTCAGCTGCTAGCTGGGTATCAAATACCAAAACCTCCCTCGTAACTTACCTGCTAACAAACCTACTTATCTCCATGTTTGTCTATCTAGAAAGAAAATTCTGCAAGCTTCCTACTTGTCTTTGTTTACCTCAAAATGTTGGTGTCTTGGCTCATATGTTTCCTAAGACATACACCCCATATCTGAGTGGCTTCAGAGATATCCTCCATCATTGCAGTTTGACTATTTCATCCATGCAAACAATACACTCATCAGAAAAACAAAATGACACGTTAATCTTGTTGTGCTTCTTTCAGGTAAGCTCTTCTTGAACATAGAGAGCTTGCACCATCATCATCATCTAAGCATTATCCAAACTATACGTGGTTTGCTTCATGAATCCTCTTTTGCCATTTCATCATGTTCAATGCCATATTCATTGTCAAACTATGAGTGCTTAAATAACTCCTTAGTACTTTGACTCATGTCCTTTTTAGTCTGCTCCTAGCCCTTCTAGCCCTTTTGAACTTGTAACTAATCACTTTTTCTTACGGGTGTCATACATGATCTTCTATGCATGTGTCAGAACCATATAAACCTACTTTCTCTCATTTTATCACCTTTTGGAGCTATTCCTAGGTTCCATCATATGACTTCATTTCTAACTCTATCCTTTCTAGTTCTTCAACCCATCCATCCTAGCACACACATTTCTGCCACATTTTTTGGACATGTTTCTTGACTGCCCAACACTCTACTCCATACAACATTGTTGGCCCAACGGTTTTATGGAATTTTCCTTTTAATTTAAGCTGTATTCATATCACATAAGATTCCAGATGCACCCCTCCATTTTGTCCCTCATGTTCTAATTCTATGGGTGACATCCTCCTCCCTCTCTCCCTTGTTATGAATTATCAAACCAAGGTATCGAACAATGTCACATTGAGTTATCTCTTGGTCTCCAATCCTAAGTGTACTCTGATTTGCACTCCTAGTATTATTAAATTAACATCACATATATTCTGTTTTACCCCTACTTATGTTAAAACCTCTTGATTCCAAGGTCTTCGCCTATAAACTTAGTTTTGCATTTAATCCTTCATTAGTTTCATCAATTAAAAAATTGTCATTAGAAAACAAGTATGACCTCCTCTTGAATATGTTTAGTCAATTCATTTATGAGCAATACAAATAAATAAGGGTTCAGTGCAACCTTGGTGAAGACCCTTTGTAACCATAAAATCTGATGTCTCTTTTACAACTGGTCTACCAATGGCTGTTGCACCCTCATACATATCCTTAATTAGGTTAATGTATTTGGCCTCCTTTCTTTTCCAAGGCCCACCATATAACCTCTCTAAGGACACTATCATATGCTTTCTCTAGATCAATTAACAGCATATGAGGTTCTTTCTTTTTCTTTCTAAACTTTTCTATCAATAATCTGAAAAGAAAGATAACTTCCATGGTTGATCTCCCTAGCATAAACCCAAATTGGTTCTTTGATATACTTGTTTCATGTCATACCCTTTTGATAAGGCCAAAAAAAAAAAAAAAGAAAAAAAAGAAGAAAAAATGAATGTATTCTGTTTTGCATGTTTTTGTAGTAGGATCCCAAATTGTTGTTTTTGGGTAGCTTTGTTGACAGTTTGGATCCAGGGGTATTTTCATCATTTTATAATTCAGATTCTGGTCAGGGGCAATTGAGTGTGCATCTGTTGGGTTTTGGTCTCTTGGGTTTTCTTGTAACAAAAGTTATCTTTTGGGGGGGGGTTGGTTTGAAGTTAGATTTGTTCTTAAGGAGTTATTTGTGAAAAAAAAACATTCTAGGGATTTATGTGTAAATATTTTAACTGGCTTGTCCAGCAAGCCAATGAGTCTTATAAAAGAGAAGGGGGCTGCTTTTTTAGGGTCTTTTTTGTTCTTTCTCTCTTGTTTGAGTTGTAGCTCAGCCGCAGCTAGGGTTTTCAAGTATTGAGAACTTGGGTTTTGAGGAATCAACACATTTTGGGACCTTCCAATCCCTCTATCGCTGTGTGTCCGCACGGGAGACCAGCTTGCTGCCATTGTTACTGTAACGGAACTGTTCCATAATGAGTTTTACTTCAGGTTTTGGTCTGAAATCCCTAAAAATCCAACTTGCTTTGTTGTTTTCAACTTGGTGTTTCATGTACTTATTGTTGTATACTTGGGTGCTGCATGTAATTTGTTTTTTGTCCACATCAAGTGGTATTAGAGCAAGTTCTTTCCTTGGGTTTGCTTCAAAGTTCATCTCCTTGTTGTGTTTTTCTATATTATTATGACTGCAAGGGGTGGACGTGGTAGGGGTGGTAGAAGACCACAACATGTCACTGTAGAGGTTTTCCAAGAGGCTATAAGAGGGCTACAAGAATAGATTGAACATCTTGCTCAACTTGTAGCTCAAAATGCTATTAGGGATGGTGATATAGCTAGTGATTTGGGGCTATGAAGAAGAAGACAAGCTCCTAGAGTTGGTGAATAACCTGCTGCGTTATTAGTGAAGAATCAAATGAAGACATTGAGCAACTAGAAGGTGATTAGCATGAAAGGAATAACAACCAACGGTGGGAAGATCACATAGTGCAAGATTTACAATCCAATCAAGGTCATGGTGTTCAACTTCATATTAATGAGTTTGATGGTGAGTTGGAACCTGAAGAGTTTCTAGAGACTGGTTGGACAGCATTGAAAACTATTTTAATTGGAAAGAAATGAATGAAGAAATAGCAGCAAAGATGTGTGGGACAACCTTGGATTGGTGGAAAAATTACCGAAGGGGCAGAGAAAGGAAGGGTAAAAGAAAGGTTAGTTCTTGGGAAAGAATGAAAGAGAAGCTGAAATCCCAATTCTTACCACCGGATTATGAGCAAACTCTCTATCAAAATAAGGCAATGGGAAAAGAGTGTAAAGGAGTACACAAAAGAGTTTAATAAATTAACTCTTTGGAGTAATATGATAGAAACTGAACAGCAAAAAGTTAGTAGATATATCAATGGTTTGAGGTTTCCAATACAAGATCAGGTCAACCTACATTTACCATATAAGGTAAAGGATGTATAACAGCAAGCTTTTAAGGTTGAAGCTCAATTGAGTCGGAGGTTGGGGCGAAAACTAAGTGCTGTCCAAGGTACATCTTCATCAGTAGGTTGAAGTGTTGGGGCTAGTAAGGATTGTGTGATCAACCAAACATGACTCACAGTCCAAGGGACCTCAAAAGCAACAAAGAGTAGTCAAGGGCAGCCTACAATTAGATGTTTCAGGTGTATGGATTTGGAACATCGTTCAAATGAATGTCCTAAGAGAAGGATTGAAGGGCAAACACATCTGGTTGATGAGGTAATTAATGAACAACAAGATGATATAGGCCATGTTGAGGATGGACAAGTGGCTAAAACTACTGAAACTAATGCTTTAGAAGAAGAAGACTTGGATGGGGATATTGAGGGTGAAGCTCTAGCGATACGACACTGCATGGTTGCACCTCAAGAATCACTACTAGGGGATTGGTTGAGAAAGAATATCTTTAGAGCATGTTGTATAGCTGGTGGGAAGTTGTGTAACCTAATTATTGACAACGGGAGTAGTGAGAATCTTGTTTCTCAAGAGACGGTGGATAGCTGCATGGTTAAGGTGAAGCTCTAGCGATACGACACTGCATAGTTGCACCTCAAGAACCACTACCAGGGGTTGAGAAAGAATATCTTTAGAGTATGTTGTATAGCTGGTGGGAAGTTGTGTAACCTAATTATTGACAACGGGAGTAGTGAGAATCTTGTTTCTCAAGAGATGGTGGATAAGTTGCAGCTCAAGACTGTTCAACACCCCGACCATATCGCATTTTGTGGTTCAACAAAGGAAATGAGGTAAGAGTTTCTTTTAAATGCTTAGTTAATTTTTCTATTGGTAATACATTTGAAGAATCAGTATGGTGTGATGTCCTAATGAATGCATACCATATTCTTTTGGGATGCCCATGGTAATATGACCGTAAGACCATTTATTATGAGGGCAAGAACACATGCAGCTATGTGAAAGACAATAAGAAGATAACTCTTAAACCAATGAAACTTGATTCATTTTCAAAGAAGGAAACCAAGCCAACCACTACTCTCTTCACCTCAAATAAATTGGCTCAAGAAGATGGAACTTTGGATGCTTATGTGCTTACTGATTGCAAAAGAAGCTAGCAAAGAAACACCTGTTCCAGAGATGGTGAAGAAGCTACTTCATGAGTATGCTGATGTGATGTCAAGGAATTACCCAATGGCCTTTCTCCCCTCTCCCCTAAGAGATGTACAACATCATATAGATTTAGTGCCGGGAGCAGTATTGCCTAACTTACCCTACTATAGAATGAGCCCTAAGGAACATGAGGAGCTCTAAAAACAAGTAACAGAGTTGTTGAAGAAGGGGCTGATCCATGAGAGCTTAAGTCCATGTGTTGTACCAGCTTTGCTCACGCCAAAGAAAGATGGTAGTTGGCATATGTGTGTTGACAACCATGTTATAACAAGATTACAATTAAATACGGGTTTCCCATACCTTGCCTTGATAACATGTTAGACACATTGGCTGGCTCACAAGTCTTTTCAAAGATAGATTTGAAGAGTAGGTATCATCAAATTCGTATCCAAGAATGGCTGCTTATGCCATTTTGGTTGTCTAATGCTCCTAGTACCTTTATGAGGTTCATGAGCCAAGTTCTAAGGCTGTTTATGGGGAAATTGTGGTAGTTTATTTTGCAACAAAGATCATAACAGCCACTAACAACAATTGAGAGCAGTCTTGCAAGTCTTGAGATAAAATC